GGATGGAGTTCCAAGATTCAATTCTAGGTCCTATGACCCCGGACGATAATACCAAAGCAACACTAGAACAAGCAGAATCTAATCAAAGGGTTTACTTTCATTCATTACACATTTCAACTCTAATCTCATAAGGTAACATAGTAACATTGTATGACATAAAAAAGAAGCAGACACTTTCAAGCAATTTATGGGTGCAAAAAGTACCTCCTTTCCATGTCTCTATCCTGGCAAACAAAACATCTTATCTTATAACTCGATATTGTTAACCTGATTGAGAGAAGGGAAATAGTATCACCCACCAACTGATGTTTCAGCTGATCTATATTTTCAGAAAGCTTCAACACACGAAGTTTCAAAGACTACATAACAAAAATAGTAAATAAGTAAGATTTTCATATATAACATGATTTCAAAAGAAATTAAAAAAAAGGAAGAACAAGCCAAGGAGATAAAGAGGCTCTGAATAATATTTTGCAACTTCAGGCATTTACATGATTGCAAAGAGACGACCTTAGCTGCTCCTTCAAAGACAACCAAAGTATTAAGACAATCCATATCAATTTATTGGTAAAATAAAATAAGTATTAGAAAGCCTACCACATATATTTATTCCGCTTCAACTGGTAAACTCTATTTACTGACGATAATCTCCTCATTCAGACAATCCATATCTAAAAAAAAGAAAGATTAAATAAAATATTCACTTATTAGATATATAAAAGGAATTACAATATATAAAGATATAAACATCACTTACCCATCTCAAATTTTTCTGCATTTTCAATGCACTCTTCAACATCAATCGGCACACGAACGGCTCTCAACCAATCTTGAGTGCAAATCAAAGCTTCCACTACTTTGGGAGTCAAAGAACTTCGAAAGCCGTCAAGCACACGACCCGATGTACTAAAAGTCGACTCCGAAGCAACAGTAGTTACGGGAATAGACAAAACATCCCGAGCCATCAAAGATAGGATTTTATATTTTGAGCCACTAGTCTTCCACCACATCAAAAGGTCAAGATCAAGAATATTTTCATTTTTTTCTTCAAGATATTGATCAAGCTCAGATTTGTTGTCATTGCACATTTGTTGGTTCAAGTGCATAAAGGTTTTTCGCCAAGCTTGGGCGTCATACTTCTTGATCTTGCTACCTTCACTACCACCGGCATCGGCATTGGAACCACTACTACTAGCACTCAAACTTTGGGCACCAAAATTTCTATCACTTGAAGCAAGAGAAGATTGTTCATAAAATTCATATAAACGCTCCAATGCATCCTTCACCTTGTAATGCATCTCATTGACTTTCAATTCATCATCATAAATTTGTCCATACAAGAAATTCACATAACTCAACTTGGCTCTAGGATCCAACACAACCGCAATCAACACCAACATATTCACTTTATCCAAACTCACATAGTATTTGTCAAATTTCTCTTTCATTTTCATACCCATAGCTTGAAGCTTAGGATCCGAAGCATCCGCCGCATCTTTCAAATTTTTATACAAAAGAGCTATCCCTTCAAAATAATCATTTGAAGTAACATATGAACTCCCCGACATCTGATTGGTGGCATCATAGAATATTTTTAGAAATTCCGAAAGAATAATGGCATTTTCCCAATCATCATCTTTAGGAAGATCATGGTTAAGCTCACTGGCAAAAGCTGAATCGTCTTCTTCCATCCTTTCAAAAGCTTTTCTAAATTTTATGGCGGTGTCTAACATGAGGAAAGTGGAGTTCCATCTAGTGGCAACATCAAGAATAACCGAACCCTTGTAAGTAATCTTTTCACCCTCAATGCAAGATTTAAATGTATTGGCTCTCATGGGAGAACTCCTCACATACCTAATCACATTTCGTATACGTGCAATAGATTCCCGTACCGTAGTCAAGCCATCTCTAACAATCAAGTTTAATATATGAGCGGTGCACCTCATATGTAAAACACTACCATCTAAGATCAACAACTTTTCTCTTGAAAGTTTTTCCTTCAAATAACCAATTGCAACGTCATTCGAACTAGCATTATCCACGGTGATTGTGGATACCTTCTTTTCTATTCCCCACTCGTTGATGCATTTCTCCACCATTCTCCCAATCTCCCTACCCTTGTGACTAGGCATCACCACAAAATTAATGATTCTTTTATGCAACTTCCAATTTTCATCAATAAAATGTGCAGTGAGACACAAATAATTCAGGTTTTGAATGGAAGTCCATGTATCGGTCGTGAGTGCGATCCTAGAATTTATCTTACCAAAGTAAGTCTTCAAACAAGTTCTTTCACAGAAATATAGCTTCATACAATCTTTAGCCACTATAAAACGTGACAAATGTTTAAAGAGAGGTTGTAACTCGGTGACAAACTCGCGAAATCCAACACGCTCAACCAAGGAAAACGGTTGTTCATCAACTATGATGAACCGAGCAAGCATTTGCCTACAACGTTCTTGATTAAATGACCATGTCGATAAGACACTACTAGTACTAGAACCTCCCCCTGCCTTGTCAGCCAAGTCTACGTTACGCGGTGCAAAGAATTTCTGCCTCTTATCAACATTGCAAGGAAACTTCTTACATGTTTTCAAGTGCTTCCTCATTGTGGAAGTACCATGAGCAACATTGTACTTTAACTCAGACCCACAATGAATGCACTTCACCTTCTATGTTTTTCCATCCCCATCTTTGATTCTTGCAAAATGATTCCAGCAATCGGATGTACATTTCTTATTAAGAGGAGGACGATGAGAACCAAGTACCTTATTTGTTGCACTCGTGGTAGGGGATGGCTCTTCTTCATTTTCATCGCCCGACAATTCAAATTCTGTGATCGGAGTCATCTCCTCACATCTATCAACCTCCATTGACATGTTATCTTGAATTCTTGATAGTTGATATGTTAATCAAACAACGCTGGCCAAGCAAACAACACGAGAACAGATTAGCCAAGAGCACTTGAACAATCAATCAAACGACACGAGAACAGAACAAAATCCCCCCTAAACTCCAGCAACTGCTCCATCAACCTCTTTCTCTCCTTGCACACCCGAACCCTCTCTTCTTCATCAATTCTCGAAGCGGCACAACCCATTACTAATAATCCAATATTGCAATTCTAGTCGGGGTTCACCTACATTCACCAATTCAAGGTCTTGAAGCACGCTAGGAGAAAGTCACTGCCCTAAACAGACCACATCCCATAAATTTTGCTCAGCTCACGTTGATTTCAAGAACCAAGAACCAAGACCCAGTTCCCAACCCAGAATGCTATTCGCATAGATCACGGTTCCCTCACCAGATTCCACTCCCTTCTAAGTAACAAGCGCCACAACAACCAGAACAATCTATATTCGAATTCCTTTCTCGAACACAGAAAGTATAGCCGAATGAGCTAAAGGACCTTCCCAGAGAATATCCCAAAATTCTCAAACACAGAAAGTCATGAGCATTATCAAGAAAAAGAATTTCCCAACAAGCCGACGACCCACCTACACCTTCAAGATCGCTTGAACTCCCCACTCAGCTATGAACCATCTCGACCTCGAAACGCAACCCACCCAAGATCCAGAAATCCTATTCGAAAAATGTATGAAAAAAAAATAAAAGAAAAAAGAAGAAAAAAAACCGTCCTCCGTCCACCTCCTCCTCTTGCTCACTAAAAGGGAACAAAGAGAGCAGCAACGACGACGGAGCACTACAAGAAAAACCCAAAAAGAAAAAAAGGGAAAGAAACAATATCCAGCTGCTCCAGAGTCCACCAGTCCATAGAGAGTACTCTTCGCTCTCGCCAGACTTCTCTGCTCAGAGCAAATACTCTAACAATGTACTATTTAATCCCAGAATAATGAAGAAACCCATAAAAAATAATAAGGAACAGAACAAGGTGAGGACAAGAAGAAACGTTCGTCAGAGCCTAACCTGGAAAATGTCTGACAGCGGCGAGCCCGAATAATCGGAGCGAATCCGCGTAGGGAGATCACGAGACCTGCGGCGAAGAAGGCGGAGCGAGGCGGAAGCGGGAGAGAACCGCGGAAGCCGGAGCGAGGAGCAAGGCGAAAGCAGAAGCGGGAGCAAGGAGCGAGGCAGAAGCGGGAGCGAGACGGAAGTGGAAGCAGGAGCGACCGAGCGAGGAGCAAGGCAGAAGCGGGAGCGACCGAGCGAGGAGCAAGGCAGAAGCGGGAGCGAGGCGGAAGTGGAAGCATGAGGGACAATGATGGAGGATCGGTGATTCAAGAGGAGAAGCTAGCATTTGGGAATTAGGGTTTCTAAATACCAAATGTGTAGTTTATGTTTTAATTTTTAGGGATCCGGTTCCTAGTCCCGGTTCTTGGTTCCAGTTCCGGTTCCCGGTTCCGGTTCCAGGTTCCGGTTCCGGTTCCAGTTTCTATAGGAACCGGGAACCGGAACCGGAACAGCCGGTTCCTAAAAATGGGAACCGAGAACTGGACCCTCTGTCCATGGAACCTGGAACCGAACCGGACCCACCGGGTCCGGTTCTCGGTTCTACCCTGGAACCGCGCTCACCCCTAGCTGGCCCTGGCCTGTGGCCGATCGCCGGCACCGGCGACCTGGCCATGGCCAAAGAAGGGGAAGAAGAAGAAAAATATATATATTAAAAAATTCAAAATATTATTAATAAAAAGAAATTATGTGCAGTTACCAAACGCATTTATATTCTTTTTCTATTCCAAGAATAGAAATTGTAGGCAATTACCAAACACCTTAAAATGCTTAGAAATTATTTCCGGGCACGGAATAAAAAAGAATCATTTCTGAACAGAAATTATTTTCGGGAACAGAATAGTTGCCAAATGCACTCTCACTGCAGTTCTAAAGTATTATTTGATACAACCCATCCTTTTCCGGTTTATTGGTTTTGTAATTGATTGTTTAATTAACTCGAGTATTAACACTCACCCTTGATCTCGAGTGGAAAATATCGTCAGGGTGCTCGACTTCGACTTTGCAATTGCTCGTTTGAAACTGGCTATCGCAGAGTCGCCGGAGAATGAGAAATAACATCAAGAACTGAGTTTCTACTGGGTGTTCGAGTTGTATGCCCCTGCTCTTGGTTGGAATGTGCTGTCAAGAGCAATCAGGCTCTCCACTTGATAACTTTGCCCTAGCTTTTAAAAGGTACCGTCTTTTTCACTAGTAGTAGAACCTTTTCCATCACTATCTAATCCGGCGTTCAATATGTTGAAACTGATTCTAAATTCCTCAGATTTCCGTCTACTTCGGACCATTATTACCCAGTCTCGAGGGTTCATCAGGCAGTGCGTGCGGAAACCGGCTGTAGTATTGGGGGGTTAATTGCCAGGGGATTTCACATACTTGTGTTCCAGGGGCTCGGCACTCAGCTATGCAACTTTTGCTAGTAAAGGAGATGCTGCCTCGAGCATTCTACTCACTACCATCACCATGATTGTATCAGTTCTTGTTAGTATACTTACTCTCGGCTTTCTCGCTGGGTCTGTCGTTGTGCCGATGGCTGCACTTGCAATGTCTAAGTAAAAATCACAGGTAAATTATGTCCAAATAGAATGGTAATCTAGACTTACTAATTGATTTATTCCAGGATTCCGACGAAGGTACTTTATGCAATTCTCCAGGTTGTTTTACTTACACGAAGCCTGTGGTGACGGTGCTAGTGATGCTGGTCGTTGCTATGGCTTGTAGCCCAACCCTTTCGCAATCAATCGATCCATATTTTGACAGCAGAGGGTCTTTCTTTGATTCTTTAAAATTAGCGTTCCGAGCTAGTGGTGGATTTCCCTTTATGCTATTGGTCTCCAGAATCTTTGATCGGCATTAGAAGTTTATGAATGCCACTGTCAATTGTGTGGGGCAAGCGAGGCCGCTGAGTATTTAGTCGACGAAATGAAGCAGCCTTATTCCAACCTATTTTAGATCTATGTAGCGCATGAGCACTTTATACTTGTATTTCTTTCTCTGAGACTACTTTCCTTCTCATTTCACAGGCAAGAAGAAGTGAGCAGGACAATGTCATTGGCGCACAGGAATGCAGAGTTTCACTCTCACAAGGCTTCCCGCAACACTGTTCCTAGGCACCATCAGGCCTTGCCATGGCCATCTTGGGTCTTTTTCTAGCCTCTTTCTGGGCCACCGGCACACGAATTTACGACTAGACACCACTACTCATTAAAAGAGTTGGTTCAAGGGCAAAGATATACAGTCGATGAGAAAGGTATATCTGGGACTTGTGCATTATTCATTATGAAAAAACTGCCAGCAGTAAACCTGAATTTAGCTGCCAAAATTGAGTACATATTGAGCAACAGTCCCAAGCTAAATCTTCGACAAGTTGTACATGCGTACAGCAAGCTGTACGATGATAAACTTTAAGATTCCAACGTCTCGGTTCAGCTAAAAGAAATGATAGCGTCCGGCACAACTCGTGCCACTGAGTTTCAGACACAAATCAAGCTTGCAGAAGGTCTGTTTAGATTCAAAATGAAATTTCTGTTGTGAGTATGCATTGCAATAGGTTGCTCGCGGAGCTTGGTTACCATAAGGTCGATTACATTGTTCAACACAAACAAATCACATGCATAGTTTGGCGTTGCCTCCATCAGATGCTAAATAACTTCATTTACAAAGTCCCTTCACACTTCCTGTAATCATCGCAAAAACTATGCATGACATGATCCAGTCTCATGGGCTTGCTGCAGTTCCTATAGCTACTGTTAATTCTAGTTCGAGCATCAAGCATCGACTCAAATTGCTCAACAGATTCGCAATGAACTAAAGCAAATAACATTATGACCGACATGAATGTTCTATCATATAGAACAAAATATGACGACAAGCATCGACAATGGGAAAGCGGGTCCGCGTGAAAATTTTCACCTGCAAAAACTTGCTCAACAGATTTGCCATCTACTCATTTCCTTTTTTCCTCTTTTGACGACAAAATTAACTTATGGAGAATCGCCGTATGATGAAAAATTATTCTGCTTTCACTTCCCCGCCGAGAAAGATTGAATCGGATACTATTAAATCCAAGCTGATCTAGCACAGGTATCGAAACCAATCACATTCACACCAAATACGCACGTAGGCTTATAACATGTTGGACTTAACCGGTACTTAAATCACAAGCTGATCCATCGTCCAGGACTGAGCTAGGTTACTATTATGTTTCTTCTGCCAAGTCTGAATTCTCCATTTATCATTGTTCGTGGCCTACAAAAGAATTTGATTAATAGTTCGTAATCGAACCTATTACACGCACTTTTCAATCAACATGTCTCCACAATAGCCAATGTCTCCATCAAAGTTTTCAGCCAGATTCGCATAAATTTGTGAAAATGAACTGCTAATTTTCCGCAACGGTACTTTCTCATGGTAATTTTGTTAAATTAAATTTGGGCAAATGGACTATCATAATATGGACAGGTTATTGTCGATGCATTGGATAATCTTTGGCACTGTTGTGAATTCATGTTAAAGCAGGTTTTTAAATATTTAGCATCTTCAGAATTCTTCTGAACAGCAAATTCTTTTTAAGTTCCTGACATGTAATCTACGGAAGTATTGGCTCGTCAAACATTTTGTTCCTCACATTATTTCTAGCTTCAAACTCCGCGTCTCTTTGAAAATTTTTATGTTCCATTTTTCAACTCTTCTAAGATTCAAACGTCTCTGAAAGCTTAGAGAAAGGCTTGATTTAGTATTGAAATATTTTGGCAATCGTAAATAGAATTTTAAGACCTTTAAAGTGCATGCTGTATAAAATTGACTTATTATATGGCTTGTTTAATTTCAAACTGTACATCAACCGTGGATTCATTTCCATATTATTAAAGCATCTACTACAGAAACTACGCTCGGTAATTCACACAGTAAAATCCAGTTCCAAATGCGTCCGCATCATTCGGTTTCCTCTAGAAAGAAATCTCGATTAGAGAAATGTGTAGAAGGAATGAAGATTTAAGCCTATATAAAATAAATAAAAACCAACATTTCTAAAATATGTAGTTTTGAGGTCATTTAAAAGGGAAAAGCCTCTTGTAGGAAAGAAAACAGAAACTAGAAAAAGAGGAAAAGCATCATTTGCCACTTGCTTTGTGACTCAAGGTTACAAATGGGTTCCAAGTGTAAAACTTAATTTTTTTGTTAATATTATTACAAGAGTCATTACATCATTCAAAAACAAATGGATAAAAAGAAAATCATTTTCCAGCTTTGGAGTATGCACCCAAAGGGGCTTGAAAACATGATTCGCTAACTGATTCTCCTTGTCTGAATCCCTTATGAAAATAAAATGGCCTTGAAGAAAAACAAAATAAGTGAATGTCCATTGTGAAAATGGATTTTAATGCAGATCAGTGCGTTTCAGAACATCTAATCTTCTTTGGCCCAAAACACAGATGAACATCTTATCTTCATATCATTCTAGCTTGAGACTTGAGAGGGAAGAAATGGGCACACTTGATCTGTGATGGAGAAACATGAAGGCAGAATTCCAGGAAAGAGCAAAAACGGAAGGGCTTTTTTCACCATTAGCCTTCAACGTGAGCAAAAACACTATGTCACTCATGAATAAGCCTGTGTTATTTCATTGACACTAGGGAATAACTCAAATTGTTAAATGTATTTTTATGCCAAATATCAAGTCAAATTTGTGACTCGATGCTGTGGTTAACCAAATTCGCCCGCATTTAGCATTGAACAATGAATACTAGCAATAAATTACGTAGTGTATCCTTTTCTTGTATGGATGAAGGACTGTTTTGTTTATTGCTTTTGTTAATACTTAGAGATTGGGCATAATTTTAAATCTTGGGGCAATCTTATAAGAACAATAACTATGAAGGCAGTATGTCTTCCTGTAAAATTTTGACTCTCTATGAACATCTAATTTCTTCTTGAACTACTCCTGGTGGGGAACTGCAGGTCTCTAATGTCTCCATTCACTATATGGGCTTTCTACAATCTGCAGTTTAGTGATCAGAAGTTCTCATTTTTCCAAATTTTATGATGCAAAAAAAATCATGAAATTCCCTTTGTGCTATAACCCATGCAATTTTGTTGAAAAATAGCGCTGGGTATATAAACAAACTTTATATATTAAGTCATGTGACAGACTCTTATCGAACTTTGAATATGACCCATTTGCTTTAAAGACCACTTACAATCAATTACTTCACTTTAAATACCAACTATGTGGACTAGTCTTGGAATTCCACATAGTATTCTTTCCTATACTATTTAGGATATCACGCAGAGGGGGAATAAAAACCATAATGTTGAGGGAAAGGAATATTTGTTTTTTGGGTTGTGAGTAATGAAGGAATCATTTTGCAAGCAGAATTCAGGTGACTTGAGAGGTGACAACCCTAAAACGTGGAAAATTTGGTGAGACATGCAAGGGTGTATCTCCTAGAAATAGGGAACACAATCATGTACTGCTTGGACCCCACTGTCACTATAACTGATTCTCTCTACTAGCAAATTGGAAGTATATTTGATCTCTTATTTGTTCTTGTAAACTTCTCCAGTCAATTAAGGACATGAAGATTCTTGTTCCCCAGAACATCATACCTTATTCATAGACTCACCTTGATGAGCTCTTACTGATTCCAGTAATTCCTATACAATACTTGGATAGAAATCAGTCCATAAAGTACAGTTAGAAAGAAAACATGAAATGAATTTCTTCCAACACAGCAATTAATTTTCCACCATAGCCCATCAGCAAAAAGTTAGAGAGAGAGAGAGAGAGAGAGAGAGAGAGAGAACACAGAAGCACTTACAGAGAATTACAGACAATCGTTGAAAAACTATTTACATATACAGACAGATGCTAGAAACCCGTTTTCTTTACACAAACATGAGTCATCACTTGTAACAGATATAGATTACAATACAGCAGTTCATTTATTTCCCAGCTTCTATTTTGTAATCATGCACCTTGGAAGTTTTTCTTTTCTTTTCTTCACTTACCATCAGTTACCACCCAATATGTAGCATAACTCATATCTTGGTCCTTTTTACCAGTTTTTTCCTCTCCACAGTTTGAGTAAGACTCAGAGGGAATAAAAGTCAGCAATACTTCTCATCACCTTTACCTGAGTGATCAAACACTTGATGTAATGAGCTGTCTCGTCCAAAAGACAACAAAAGTCCATAGCTTCGCCCCCGGGCACAAGCTTTTGGAGCTTCTCCGCATGCCCAAAACCGTGCTCTTCAATATCCCTCTTCTTCTTCTTTCTCTTCTTCTTCCCAAGAGATCTTTCTCTAGAATTAGATTTCGAGCATCTCCCACGAAGAAGATTGTGTCGGCGCTCACCATTTCGGGCCCTCCAGAGTGTCGCGCGGCTCCAAGCCCTCCTTGTCCCAACTGCTCTAGCCATCGAAACATAGGCTGCGACTTTGACTCGACGGCATCGTTTTAGGAATTCCCTATGAGAGGATGACGATGACGATGTGGGGTTGTGCTTTCTTATCCTGACCCAGGATTGAAGAAAGACTTGAGTGAACCTAGATCTCAAAGAACCAGGAATTGGGGATGATCTCTGAGGATTCTTCATTTGAAGGCCTGGAAAGGAGAGAGTTTTTGTGGTGAAATATTAGGGTTTCTGGGGTTGTGTAGTGTGGAGTATGTATGGCTTTTTTTTCGTAGGGTTTCCCTTTTGACAATTGGATCAAACGACAAACAGAAAACAGATGGGGAATGTAAGAGGAGAGATCTTCTGATGACACAGGGGGGCCAATTTGCTCAGAACTCACAAGGATAAGAGGAGAATTTAGTTCTGACAATTCTGACACACTGTATCTTGAGAGAGAGAGATGTGGTTAGGGATGTTTCTGAAGGAACCACAAAACATGTGAAGGGAATATGAGAGAGAGAGAGAGAGATGGAAAATGGGAGGTGTGAAAGGAGGATGGGATTAGGGGAATCAAATTTAGGAATTGTATAATAAAAAATTTCTTTTGCATGCAAGAAAATAATTTTTATCGACAGTTTTAAACATCCGAAATTTTATTCTTTACAAAGTTATATCTTTGATTTAGAATTCTCTTTTTTGAGTTAAGATATATGAGATAAGACGCATCCGTAAACTAAACTTCACGCAGACTCACATAAATGATAACAAAAAAACACATTATAATAATGGGATTATGTGCGGTTTGGTTCTTTCATTTTCAGCTTAGCATTTAGGGATGTGAAGTGAGGGAGGGGGGTGTGGGCCTGCAAAGGGCCAACCACCATATGAGTGCACATGGTTCCATTGCCCCCCTTGTGGATTGTGGGACCCCCCCTCTTGACTCATTTTGTTCTCTTATAATGCTATTTAACCTTTTAGCTAAGCCTCACTTGATAATAAATATATTCATTA